TGCTGCTGCATGGCTACCGACACCAGTACCGTTACGACGACTACTGCTGTTGCTGCTGCTGCTGCTTCAGTTTCTGCTTCTGCTACTATGGCGAGCACGACTCACGATCACCACGACGACGACCACTGACTGCTGCTTCTATCGCTGTTACTGCTTCAAATTCATCAGAGAGACTCCCGGTTTCCCGCAAAACCGTCAACTAGCGCGCCACACACGAGCTGTGACGAGCCGTCGCTCCAGAGTTCGTGCAAGATCAAAGCCCAAAACCCTTGTGCTCAGAGTCGCGCACCTTTGGCACCGGCTTGCACAAAAATACATCCACCAGGAGCAGCTGCAGCAGCAGTCGGCACGGTTTCATAATCCACGGCTGCAAAGCAAAAGCGGATCTGAAACCACAAGGCTGTGTTCAGGCATTCTGGAATGCTGCATGCCAGCTTCAACTGTCTGAGAAAACGCCGACTGCTCGAATCACAAACTTGAAGCCTTCTTGCAGGTTGATCATGCATGCTGTCTGCCTCTGTATGAGGGCTGAAGCCCTCTCACGCGAGCAGAAATATGACTTTTCGCGAACTAACCAAACACACAGCATAACGTTGCACCACAGCCCAGGGATGCAAACCCCTGAAACAACAACCGACGCCGACTTGACGGTGGGAGCGAAAGGCGCAAACCTCGAGGCTGCCTCAATCCTTGCTCAGTAGAGAGATTTACCAAATTAGGCTTTCTTCGAGTCTCAAGCTCTGAACTCTGAGAGCCTGCGTCCTGGGGCCCGACGCTCGGCCTCTTCCTGCTCTTCGATCTCGCGCTGCCGGCCTTGTATCGCTGGAATGGGGACATCCCCCGATCACAAACCAGATCGAGTTGCGCGCATCCACTACTTACATCAACATGCATGCATGGATGCAGGCATGCATGTACGTATCCACGCATGCGTATGCGCTCTGCGACCCCTTCCGGGAGCTCATAGACGAAAGAGGCTCTCACGACGCTCTTCCTCCTGCTGGCGGCGCTTCTCCTTCTCCCGGGCGTCGTTCTGCTCCTGCAGCCACTGAATGGTTCTGCAGCAACAGAAGCGACATCGCGGCCATGCCAACCGACATCAGGCGATCTAGACAGTGACCTGCAGCGGCATGTCCATCTCATGCATGGGCTGTATATGTAAATACATACACAGATACACATACATGTACGTATACATATACATATACATATGCATGTACATATACATACACAGTTACACACACATACACATACACGTACACATGCACATACACATACACATACACATACACACACGTAGGCATACACATACACATACACATACACATACACATACACATACACATACACATACACATACACATACACATACACACACACACATAGACATAGACATAGACATAGACATAGACATACACGTACACGTACACGTACACATGCACATGCACATACACATACACATGCCCACATGCATGCATGCATGCATGCATGCATACATACATACATATGTATGCATGTGTATGTGTATATGTATGTATATATATATATGCATGTGTATGTGTAAATATTGTATATATATATATACAAATATAAATATAAATATAAA